TATATGTAAAATATGTATGTAATATTTATATATATTATACAACAGTTCTTTTTGGTCCTCGAATCTGATTGGCTGAAAGGAGTGTGATATTCTAGTGATATCAGAACTCCAACCGTATTTGAACCACCTGAAACATGTTTGTGTACTTGTGTACTGCATGTTTTTGTGCTTAATGTGTGTTTTTGTGACTGTATAAAACAGTATCAAAGGTCCCTGTCAACTGTAATAAAATGAAATGTAACGTTGTCCATACAGTCAAAGCAAGATTCATTTTTTTGAAAACATAGCATTAGTGCTATTAAAAACCTGACAGATAAACTGTTTTCTTGCTTTTAGTATCTGCTTTTATTGTCATTGTTTTCAAATCATCTTTTTGTTTAGTTAGAAATGTTGTTTTTCCTATTCCAAACCCTTTAGCCTACGGCAGATCTAGAGATGTCACATACGATTATCATATCAATTGCTGCCATAATCAGACCGTCTCTGAAGCGGCGTGTGTGTGAGGACGATTGAAGGCTAATGTAGGACATGTCTGTTAAAGTATCCTCCAGCTGTGAACGAATTCATCTCTCTCTCTCTCTCTTACATTAATTCAGTTCACTGAAGCCTGCTGATACACTACAAGATCAGTTCAGTTTTGTGAATAAGCTTGTGAAGTTTTTGGGCAGTGGACATTTATTTACAGTAATTACAGTCGCAAATGAGCAGGCCCAAATGAAATCTGAAGACTTTATGCTTATTTTGAAAAAAACAATTGCAGTACTCTGCAGAATGGATTTGAAAATGTTAGCTAAGGGGGTTAATAAGACTGTAGTTGGAAGTGAAATCAAAATATTTAATAAGAAAACATATTTGCAAATGTAATAAACAAGCCGGGTATTTATTGAATTTGATCAGTGACAGGCGTTCTAGTTCTGTAGAAATGTGCAGAGTCTATCTGTCTATCTATCTATCTATCTATCTATCTATCTATCATCTGTCTATCTATCTATCTATCTATCATCTATCCATCCATCCATCTCCCTGCTGCTCTATTTGAGTTCATTAAAAGATTTCCACCTGTGTGTGTGTGTGTGTGTGTGTGTGTCAGTGGGTTATCTGTTTATGACTTTGACAGATGTTATCAATTTTCCCGTCTGAATTGGTTTCAAGAAGGTCTCGTCTGTTTGAAAGCGTTTGTGTGTGTGCGCACGCTCTAATATATGTGTGTGTGTGTGTGTGTGTGTGTTCAGGAGAGTGTGGCAGCTTATAAAATCCCCACTGTGTGCCCATCTGTCTGACTTCTGTGATCTTTTACCCAAACACACACAGTGTGTGTCCTCAAACCACTGGACTACACACACACACAAAGAAATTAGAAATTAGCTAATTTTCTAAACATTTCTTAAACATCTGAATATATATTTTTAATTGTAAATACAAAAATGTTGTATGGCCTGTGTCCAAAGAGACCAAATAACCTCAAACAACAAACTTGGGTCTTTTAAAACCTTTAAGTATTCTATCCACGGTCAGAAAGAGAGTATGTGTCCTACAGGATCAGACGCCTGAGGATGCCGGCAGCAGGGCAAACCATCAAAGACTGTGTGTGTGTGTGTGTGTTTGTGTGTGTGTGTGTGTGTGTGTGTGTGATGAAGGTCAAAGTTGAAATGAAGTAAACAGATATCTTCAGTTGTTTCTGACTGCTTTTATAATTCGATCCAACCCAAGAGTTATGGAGCTGTCATTCTGTCTCCAGCCGCAGATGTTGACTTCTTTCAGGTGTCTGTATGTGTGTGTTGTGAGAGCAAGCATGTGTATTTCATGAGAAACTGCTAACAGAGCATGATCTCTGTAATTAGTGTCATGGCCTTTAATGGGAGAGAATGAGAACACACACATCCACGAGCTCTGTGACGGCCACATATAAGCACTCACTATACAGAGAAGACAATATGAATATTGGGAGACAGATTCCATACACACAGAGCCGTGTGTGTTGGACAGATCTGGTCTCTGGCAGTATATCAAAGCTGGATTCAAGATCTGACCATGAAGCTGAAGGTGTTACAAGAGGAGAGATTTTGAGAAAGAAAATAGACGAGCTACTAAAAGTGGAAGTGCAGGCTTAGCAGATGTTTACACAGAGCATGTTCTTGCTTTCAAAGACCGTAAGCACAACAGAATCGAACAGAATGCAGGGGTTTCAAGACTCATGTTTTGAGTTTTTAATGTGAATTTCACAATGGTTTTGATGCGTTTAATTTGACTATTCAGTTTCCTAAAAACTGTGCTAGTAAACTAGTTGCACACATCCTTATGTCGCAACTTTTGAGTATTTGAGATAAAGGTAATTGAATAGCATCTCTGATTTTAAATCTTAATACCAAAAATGATGAATGGCGAAGCTGGATTTATTTGCACAACTTTTTCTATTAAAATATAAAAAAATTTAAAACCAATTATATATATGAGATACTAAATATTTGTATTTATTTATTTATGCATTTATTTATTTATTTATTTATTTATTTATGATGAAATATTTGTTTGGTCATCTGATTTGGTCAAAATGTATTATTATTATTATTATTATTCATAGTAGTAGTAGTATTTGTTATTTTAGAACAAATACCTAATTATGTTGTTAAATATTTGTCAAAATGATGAATTTATAAGTTGGATTTATGTGCATGCATCAGTTCTAGGTCAAAATATCATTTCCATAAATCTGTTTCTTAAAAGGTATAATTAATTTATTAATGCTAATTATATTTTATTAATTTTATAATGTGTGTGCAGTGTGCATGTGATGTATATATATATTTCAGAAAAGGAAATATTTTGAGAAAAGGATTGGAGAAAATAAATAACCCTGCAGTGAGACATTTTAGACCAAATACATAAATGTGGTGAGAGATATTGTGTATTGGGGAAATTAAAGACATCTGACAGGTTTGCACATTGACTCACAATTGAAAAGCTGTGCAGACGAAACGGCAGAATGCGTACGGCAAATTATTCCAAAAATCATTGACTAGAGATAGACAAGAACAAGTGTGTGCGAAAGAAAGATGGAACGCAATAAACATTTCATCGGCAAAGTGCTGACAAATCACCTTCATCACGCGTACGTCTTCATTCCGCTAGCATCTATCGAGATGAAGAATAGAGTCAGCGGAAAAAATGACGACACATTAACAAGATTACAGCGATAATGTAGAACATCAGTGCCGGCAGTGAGACGAGCTTGATTATGTGCTGGCGTGAGCGTTAATGAGTGTGTTGTAGTAAATGTGCCGTGTTTGTGTAAATGTAACCCATGTGTGTCCTGTGTTTCAGATGCACCATCCCATACAGATGAAGCCCGCAGACAGTGAGAAATCAAATGGTGAGTGTCTGTATGCGTCTCTTATTTTTCTCAGGTCGTCCGACTGTAGCTTTGTTCTGGGGGTTTGTCTCTGTGTTTGTGTGAGGGACTAGGAGATGGATGAATTATTGAAACCCAGGAGAGCCGCGGGCCAAGAATAGTTTAAGTGTGTGCCCTGGCAGTGACCCAAACACATATACACACACTCACATAAGCCATATTGCTCACAAAAAGATTTTATAGATGTGGTTAGGAAGTCCACTGTAAGGGAGCTGGTGCTTGGCCAGGGGCCCACATTTCCTGAGACTTGAGAGCCGAATGATTATGTAACTATAACACCTATGTTACTACATAACCTACCTTCAGAAAAACAAAAAAGAGAGATATGCTTAATGTACAAAGTACAAAGTTTGCACCCCCGTTGGAAAGAATAAATGGAATTTATTTGTGTCATTCAAATCCTAATTTTCAGCAGCCAGTACTCCAGTATTCAGAGTCACATTACTTTGGAAATTATTGTAATATGCTGATTCGATTTCAGTTATTTCCAGTGTGGAAATCATGAAACAATTTATTTATTTATTAGAATTTTTGATGGGAAGTTCAAAAGTACTGCTTTTATCTATTTATGTGAAATAATTTGCCACTTTTAACCAATTTAATACATCCTCACTAAATGAAAGTATTAATTTCTTATAAAATAAATTAATTAATCATACTGACTCCCACATTGTATAATGGTTATATCAATTATAATAATTTTGTGTAATAAAATTTAAATATCTTGTAAATATTTGTTTAAATCTGTTGTAAAATAATAATAATTTCACACATGTATTTGTAAATAAATCATGATGTTTTAAAATCTTGGATATTAGTAAAATATTATGTCATAGGGGGTCATAACAGCTAAAATATTTCATCAGCTAGAAATTGCTTTTGTGTAGAGCAACTTGCTTGCAAGCCATATTAATGTTTATTTTTCTTTGAGTCAATTCTTGAACCAATCTGTCAGACTGGATGATCCATACCTGAATTGCTTTGAAAGAGAATTATTTGCCAAAAATCGTATCCATTGATTTTTACAAGTCAATGGATAATAACTTTCTTAATACTAGTTATTGTACTTACTTATTGTATTTGATTTGCTGAATGTTATTCCAAAGAAAAACATTCGTTGTAATATTTCATCAAAATGTATTAACTCGTTCTGCCTCTAAAATTACTTATTATGAAAATAAAATGGTGTGCGAATAGCATTTCATGTATTTTCTTCAGAGTCAGATTGGGCTCCGCTGCTTGTCAGTGTAAAAGGATCCGTGTCTGTCCGTCTCTCTGAGTGACGGGGATGTTATAGATGCAGTGTTAATTTCGTTGACGAATAATTTTCGTCATAATGTTCGTCAACGACATTTTTTTCACTGACGACAACGAGACGATAACGAACTAAAACTCTTTTTTGATTGACAAAAACTATGACGAAAATATATTGACATTTTCGTCAACGAATAAAAACGAGACGAAAATGTTAGTGAGGGACTGCTGCATAAGAGGTTAGATGCATACATATGAACCGGCGGGACATAAGTTAAAATACACTTGCTGCACGTCGCATAAAACGTTAAAAAATATCAATATGTGGTGAGTAAGAGAAGAGCAGACACATAAATAAATCTGACGACGCAAGAGAGAGCTCAATTCGGTCCGGTTTTCTGAGCGCAGACACTGAAGCACACACACACAGAAAGCGCGTCTCACAGCGCGCGAGTACTCTTTCGCGTCGCATGAACGGAGAATTACACGCAAAATGATGTCGAATTGTCCGTTTTGATGAGTATTCAAGGTAACACAGTTGATTATGTCTTAAGTGAACGTAAAGTAGGGAGAACGTGTATCAGTACATTACATCCATTGCATCCGTGCATTCGGTTTTAAAGGGACAGCAGCCTAATTTAGTTGCTATTGTCTGAGTCATTGATGTTCATCAAGCAACAAAAGAAAGACAGAACATCACTCACTGCTCTTGACTGAAAAAAACTTTAGTAGCCCTAAAGATCAATCTAAATTTATTTATAGAAATAAATATGTCTGCTTGAAAGAATGAAGAATATATGGTAAGCAAGTTGCTATAAAGAATGCATAATTAGCCTATATAACCATTGGTATTTCATTAAAAAGAAGACCATGTTCTTGTTCTTTATGAGAAGTGGTTTTATTTAATTTTAACATAAAGGCATGTTGTGTGTCACCGCAGTTAAATCGGTGTCTATCATGATAGAACCTTAATATCAAACCTATATAATGAGTTTGGACATTTTGGAGAAATGCTTAATAAATGCATTACACTCTAACTAAACCCATTAGATTTTAGCTGACTAAAACTAAAAACAATTCAGATGACTAAAATATGACTAAAACTAAATGGGATTTTAGTCAAAAGCCTATGACTGAAACTAAATCAAAATCTGCTGTCAAAATTAACACTGTATAGATGTGACCCTCCATAAAACGTCTCACATAGATGATATTATATCAGATGTTCACTGTAAGCAAAGCTCATTAGTGAACACTGTAACCCATCAAACTGAGAACCCTGCTCCTGTGTGTGCGGTTAATCTTCTGATATGACACTGTGTGTGCGTAAAGGCAAAGCCATTGAAACAGCACTTATCGCTGGCTCATCCTGTCGCTGTTAAATGCACAAACAATTCAAACAGCAAAATAAACAAGTGAGCTATCGATTTCCCAGAGTGCAGCGGCTTGCTTATCGGCCGCCCAGTGGTAAGAGCTGACACATTCTTCATTAAAAAAAAATTGGATTACAGTTGCCTCTCTCTTGCTCTCTTTCTCACACACACTCAAGCGTGCATAAACACACAACTGCAAACTGTCACCGAATATATGATTTCATATGTATTTTTAATATTTCCTTCTTGTTCAGTCCTCTTCCCATTATGCCAAACATTTCAGATTAGAAACATCTAAAGGTTTGCTTTTTCTCTCACTGCGTTCAAGGTGTCGGAATGTTATTCATTGTATGGAAATCTGTTTCTACCTCTAAAAATTTAATTGTGATCATTGCGATATAATGGTAAAAATAAGTCATAAATTAACATTCCAAGTTTAAAAGCCACAATTGGGGGATTTCATTTTATTTAATTTCATTTCTTTCATTTCATTTATTGAATTTTATTTTATTTTATTTCATTCCATTGTATTACATTTTTTATTTTATTTTTGGATATTTGTGCAGTATTCCATAATGGGCTCCTATTTTGTTGTAATAATTCACACATGCATTTATAAATAAAATCGACATTTCTTTGAAATTGGTAAAAAAATATTGCATCATAGAAGGTCTATGATTAATACACAAAGTCATACTGTAAGATTTAAATTTACTATTGGGGGATATGAAGTTGCAATTATTTTATTTTATTTTACTTATTAATTCATTCATTTAATTTAAGTTGGAAGTGTGTTTCCATACATATTTGCAATATTACGTCGTAACATGTTAAATGGAGCTGAAAGTTGTATGTTTTTATAGGAAGCTGAAAGCAAAATAAAATTAGCCAAAAGATTAAATAAAGAAATTCAAATTCCACTGATATTTGTGGAGTCTTCCATATGTCGTCCAATGTAGTTTGTACACATTTTATCTACTGTTGATAAACAAAATAGCATTACAGCTTGCCAGAAAACACTACTCATTTAGCCGGTTAATGAGGTGAGCAAAACTACATTTCCCATCATTCTCTGTGGCAGCACAAGAATGATAAAATACATAAATAAAGCATCAATTACACACCTAATGCACCTTTTCCTCTTCATTTTGGTGCATTAGCGCTAAAGAGCTTCCTGTCTTTATGGTGAACTGAAAAGGGGAGAAATAAAAATGAAATTACTCAACACATCCATTTTATTTCCAACATAAATGCACATCACATCATAATTACGGCCTCCGAGCTCGTAAATAGGATCTTCCCAGGAGGACTAGAAAGCAGCACACACAGATTACGTGCAAAAGAGTGTGCTCGGGTCAATGAAAGAAAAGATCAAAGAGAACCAAGCGAAAATTTGCGGTTGTGTGTGTCTGGGCTTGATGTGCTAATGAGACATTGATCACATGCAGCCGTAACGTCTTTTTTTACCACACGTTGGGCACATTTCTTTTCTCTACCCTTCTTTTCTCTCAGCGGTGGAGGATAGAAAGCTGTTCATCGGCATGGTGTCGAAGAAATGCAACGAGAACGACATCCGGGTCATGTTCTCTCCTTTCGGACAGATCGAGGAGTGTCGCATCTTGAGGGGACCAGACGGACTCAGCCGAGGTGAGACATATACTGTATTTTTCTTTTTACATTTTTAAAGGGAACATGATGAAAAACAGGATTTTTCTTGCTCTTTTGAAATAAGTTTTCAACACATATCTGAAACTAACACTGTGAGATAACCAAATGCGAAGCAATGAAGCATCACGATGGGTAGCCACGCCCACATTGAAACCTCATTGGTCCAATACAGCTTTCCATGTAGCAAAATAGTAAACAAAACATATTTTCTGATTGGTGGTGATTGTTTCGCGTCACACAGAATTTCACTTTTTATGTGAACGGACTGGACATCACGACTGTGACATCACAACCATAAGCTCATTAACATATGACCGCCCATCAACAGCTATTAATTATTAAAGAGATAGTTCACCCAAAAATGAAAATTCTGTCATTAATTGCTCACCCTCATGTCGTTCCAAACCCATAAGACCTTCGTTCATCTTCAGAACACAAATTAAGATATTTTTGATGAAATCCGAGAGCTTTCTGACCCTCCATAGACAGCAATGCAACTGACACGTTCAAGGCCCAGAAAGGTAGTGAGGACATCGTTAAAATAGTCCATGTGACATCAGTAGTTCAATCGTAATGTTATGCAGCTATGAGAATACTTTTAGTGTGCAAAGAAAACAAAAATAACGACTTTATTCAACAATTTCTTCTCTTCCGTGTCAGTCTTCGACACGTGTTTACAAGAGTACCACAACTATTTTAACAAATTCCTTACTGTCAGTTGCGTTGCTGTCTATGGAGGGTCTCGGATTTCATCAAAAATATCTTAATCTGTGTTCCAAAGATGAACAAATGTCTTAAGGGTTTTAGAACGACATGAGGGTGATTAATTAATAGACAGAATTTTCGAGTAACTAATGACAGAATTTTCCTTGAGAACAACAATGTGAACTATCAACACAATCTCATGGCAATTCGTAACTATTGTACGTTTTGGCGAAACAGTGGAATCTCATTCTCACTATCGCAGTGATGTTTATGTTTAGGGGTGGGGTTATGGGTGATTTTTTCAAACCGTACATTTCTTTTGTACGTTTCACAACATATGAACTCCTACGAAATCGACAGCTCGTAAAATACGTACATTATTCTGTGAGATCGGGTTGGAACTATAGCAGTTTGACATTTAGCAGATCATATCAGGGCTTATTTAAATATAGATGTCTTAAAGGTGCAGTAGCAAAATCAACATTTTTTTAGTTATAAAGAGTGTGGGAAATGCTTATAAAATTATAAATTTTATGAGTGTTTTTGGTGCAAGAATCTAATTTGGACTTGCAACAAAAGTGTAGAATACAACTCTTTATATGGAGCACACGTTTGATATATTATTATGCTTGTGTTTTTATACTTCATTAAAGGGATATTTGTTGTAGACATATGCATACATTCTAATCAAACATGGCAGTGAGAGATACTAGTTAGTGGTTTCACCATTCTAGCCATCAAGGTCTGTAGTTAGCAAAGTCAGTCTTTCACAGTGTGTTTAAGGATGTTCGATTTCCTCCAGAATTACGGGAATATATGTGGTACATAATAAGTGTTGAAGATTTTCCCATCTTGATGTAACCTGCAGGGAATTACAGCGTACCTCCAACTTCCCACAATGCTCTGCTTTCACATACAGCTATCTTTTATCACTCGTTTATCCTCCTCATCCACTCCACTAGTCGTCCCTCCATCCTCCGCTCATTCACTAGTCGTCCCTCCATCCTCCTCCGCAGTCCTTATTTTCCGTCTTTTCCTCCTGTCCTCATGAATATTTTAATTCCACAGGAGATTAACTTTATTCCCTGAGCTCATGGTTGGAGATATATTTGAAATGCTTCTATGAGAGAAACTACCACCCCCTCCCATAAAAAAGGATTGGATGAATAAATAGATGAGCAAATGTGTACGTAAAAGAGGTGTATGGTAAACCCATGGACTAGGACGACTTTAAAAGCGCTCTCGTGCTGCTATTAAAGCGGTCTATCAATCATCATTGAACTTCACTATTAATAAAATATAGATCAGGCCACATGTGAGCGCAGTGCCCTGGGAGCTACCCCAATTTCTTCAAAAAACTCTCATATTTCGCTCTCTCTATCCCTCCATATCGCACGTCTCCCTTATTCATTCTCTTTTGATGACACTGACAGTTAATTGCGTTGTTTTTGCCACAACTATGACACATTTGAGGGGAAATGTACAGGCAGTTGCTCATTATTATAAGAAAAACACCTGACGGCGAATTAACTAAATGGACATAAAATAGTTATTTGACCTGAAATTATTTTAATATGTAAAAAGAAAAAAAAAACTGTTATGACATGGGGAACTAGCAGAGGAAATCAGTTGACTAGGACAATTATGCCATTTTGCGCTCATTATGCCAAAAGAAATTGACCCCAGAATGCTGTGATTGACCAATCACCATCAAGTATTCCAGAGGGCTGCGTAATAAGAATAATTAATCGCTTTCTTGGAAATACTTTCATTCTGTCTCATCGTTAACAGCTTCTTATCACAACAGATCATAGTCCGTTCGAACCGTGAACGAACTCTGTAGTCGCAGGTCAGCAAAAACGAGGACTTTGAGAGTTGAAAGAGAACGTCTTTTCCGCGTTTCTCCCCTACGAGACTGTTTCTCTAGAGTTTCGCACCCTGCCAGTGCTCACAAATATCACCCTTAGAGTGTCCAAAACTGCTTTAATGATGAGGCTAATTAAACAACTCTAAAAATAAACAGCCTTTCATTCCGCTTTCACTCGTGGTGATGCTCCGGTTCGCCGGGGCCAGATTCACCCGCTCTGAAGACAGAAAGAAGGTTGTATCAGAGCGATAGTGAAGAGAGTGATGCTAATGAGGAGACAATAAAGGTATGTCCGCTGGAGCAGGTAGACGGTGCCAGCAGATATTGGATGAATAAATAGATGAGCAAATGTGTACGTAAAAGAGGTGTATGGTAAACCCATGGACTAGGACGACTTTAAAAGCGCTCTCGTGCTGCTATTAAAGCGGTCTATCAATCATCATTGAACTTCACTATTAATAAAATATAGATCAGGCCACATGTGAGCGCAGTGCCCTGGGAGCTACCCCAATTTCTTCAAAAAACTCATCTTTCGCTCTCTCTTTCCCTCTATATCGCCCTCGTTCATTCTCTTTTTTTAATGACACTGGCAGGTAATTGTGTTGTTTTTGCCACAACTATGACATATGTGAGGGAAATTTACAATCAGACAGTAACTATTGCAAGAAAAACACCTAAGCATTAATTAAATAAATGGACATGAAAAAGATGGTATGAGACTAGCAGAGGAAATCCGTTGACTAGGACAATTATGCCGTTTTGCGCTCATTATACCAAAAGAAATTGACCCCAGAATGCTGCGATTGGCCAATCACCATCAAGTATTCCAGAGGGCTGCGTAATAAGAATAATTAATCGCTTTCCTTGGAAATTCTTTCATTCGGTCTCCTCGTTAACAGCTTCTTATCTCAACAGATCACAGTTCGTTCGAACCATGAACGAACTCTGCAGTCGCAGGTCAGCAAAAACACGGACTTTGAGAGTTGAAAGAGAAAGTTTTTTCCGCATTTCTCCCCCACGAGACGGTTTCTCTAGAGTTTCGCACCCTGCCAGTGCTCACAAATATCACCCTTAGAGTGTCCAAAACTGCTTTAATGATGAGGCTAATTAAACAACTCTAAAAATAAACAGCCTTTCATTCCGCTTTCACTCGTGGTGATGCTCCGGTTCGCCGGGGCCAGATTCACCCGCTCTGAAGACAGAAAGAAGGTTGTATCAGAGCGATAGTGAAGAGAGTGATGCTAATGAGGAGACAATAAAGGTATGTCCGCTGGAGCAGGTAGACGGTGCCAGCAGATATACAGCGCAACCGTGTGGTCGCAACACCACATTGCAGGGTGGAATTATTGCTGACTTTAAGCAAATTTTTTTGCTTTTTTTTTGTAATTTAGTAAAAAAAAAAAAGAAAAAACCACCTTAAAATGCAATGAATACACCTGTTCTGTGTGGAAAATTTGATTTCTTTTCATTTCTGAATTAAAATAAGTATTGATATTATTTGTTTGGGAGGTGGGAAGAGATACAACATTTTTAAACAGTTTTTTTTTTTTATATTAGAAGTATTTTTTTTTAAATATATGTCTCTTTAAAATATTGAATAATTTGGCCTTTTTATGACAAATCATGGTTATTTCAAATTGTAAAATGTCATGTGGTGCAACTCCCCAAAAACAAAAATAATATTTGTTAATTAATAATTCACGATATTTGTAAAATAATTATTGTTTACCTTAAAAATATATATTTATTTTTATTTTATTTATTTATTTATTTTTTTTTGTCACAGTGTAGGAAAATTGTGGTTACACCATGTGACACATGACATTTGTGGAAATGTGGTAGTATTTTTCATATATAATTGTGAATGTTGACTGTACTGTATTTTGTGTGCAAATTATGTACTGTGGATGACGAATAATGATAACGTTTTCCAGAAAGTACTGCTTATTTAGTCAGTTTATGACTTGACAGGTTTATGCGAAAAACTGCATTTCCCATCATTCTCTATGGCAGCATGGGAATGTTGCAGTAGGAAAAGAGAGAAAGTAATATGAAATTGCCCAGCATGTCCATGTTACTCTAGCCAAAAACACTTGGACACACATCACATTGTAAATCGAGTTTCCAAATTTAAAAGGAACCATTTATGAAAAGACAGGACGCCAAGTCTTTGTTCTTTCCTCTCCTCCATTCTTTCCCTTCTATCTCAGAGTATTCACATATGTAGACGTGTGAGAAGTAGTTAACCCATTAACTAGACTGTCCATGCATGCGCGCATGTGTGTGTCCTCCATATGTATAAATGTGCTGGACTGCACAGTAGAGTAGAGCTCTTCAAACAGGGCTGCGTTTTCCCCCAGCATGCCTCCAAATGGCCTGTTCTTCTGGCTCCCGCTTGCACCACTTCGGTTCCAAGACTTCTTGTCCCAGATGCCATTGCAAGCTCTCCCGAAACACACACTCCTCTCCAGGGATTGTTCGCCTTGATTACAGTTGTTTAAAAAGAAAGAAATTGGGTGTGTTTTTACATATTTATGAACAGACGGAATATTAATGAAACAGGGTTGGTGGGGATATCAGTAGCACAGATACTTAGGTACAAAGTTAGTATTAAAATAATTTTGAATAAAAATACTTGGCTTTGCAGTTTACATTCAGTCTATGGGATGTGCCACTATTTTGATAATAATAATAAACAATAAGAAGAAGAAAAAAAGGGAAAATCACTCACTGCTCTTGATTTGTTTCTTTGTTTGCTTGAATAATTCCATTAATCATTTGAAGCATTACATTTCATGTTCAAATTTATTTTAAATTGTTTTCATTTAAAAGGATAGTTCACCCCAAAAATGAAAATGGACATTTACACAAACCTGTTGTGTCGTTCAGACTTTCGTTCATCTTCGATACACAAGTTAAGATACCTTTGAATGAAGCCTGAGAGATTTCTGTCCCTCCATTGAAATGCCATTCTATCAAAATTTTCAAGCTTCAATAAGTTCATGAAAACATTGTAACAGAATTTAATTTTTGGATGAACGAAACATTTAATTTATTTTTAATATATTTAATTAATTTAATGTTTTTTAAATAACATATTTTCCGTTATCATGTTATAGTTTTTGTTGTGGTTTCAAAATTGTGAAATTTCACTGGAATTGGTATTAACAATTACAGTTTTTGGTATCACAGTAACCCCACATGTATAAACAATTTATGTGTGTGTGAGTGTGAGAGATGAAACTAGCCACACACTCTAACCGCATACTGTAGTAGGGCTGTCAAAATGGCTGAAAAACTAAATTCAAATTTTTTACGTAAATATTATCAATATTCAAATTATATTCGAATTTAAAAGGCATAATTTCAGTTAGGGGGAGAAAGAAGCTTTTGGCTTCTCTCCCGAGGCCACAAGAGGGCGCATCGAACTAAATATTATGCAAGTTTCTTCAAAGCATAATAAAATAACACGACTATCTTTGAAAAAAGTGCATAACGTTTAAAATAATGTTTATAAACCATATATAATGAATAAAGTTGCTTAAACAATTATAAACAAAACAGCATCATGCATGTATGTATAGTTTAATACAAAGGACCGAAAACCAATCACAAAGAGTACTTTCTTCATTTAAAAACTTGAGATGCAGTGGGATGGGAAAAACCGCCATAAAGTCTCGAGACATGTTTTTTAAAAGTTGAACTTACATTAACTTTAAATAGCTTTCTAAGCATGCGTCTCTCTTGTGCGAGACGCGAGTGCAGCGGTGATAGATGTCCCTCTAGAAAATGCGATAAATATGCATTCTGTGTGAACGGCTTGTTTTCGGTTTTGACATAAACAACATCTTCCCCGCATTGATTGTTCTATTTTTCTGCAATATTTTGAATGAACAACGCAGCAGCGCCGCATCTAGTGGGTTCAACTGGATAGGTTAACAAAAACATTAAAATGACACTTACATTGTCGTCGCATTTTGTGCGCCACTGATAAGGCTGCCTGACGCACACCTAAAATTCGAATGCAACGTTTTTGCATTCAAATGTGGATTATTTTAAATTCGACGAATATTCGAAATTCGAAAAAAAAATCTGACAGCCCTATACTGTAGTTTCCAAGCCATCACACCAAACGAAACTAAAGAACTGATATCCATTGCTGACATTTTGTTGAGTGTGTATTTTGAGATGTTGAATGTTGAATGTTTATCTGATGTTGAATGTTGGTTGTTCTATTCTAGCAACTGTATAGCACTGTTGTCTGCTGTGTTCTTTGTACGATCTTTGTTTTTTAGCTTTATAACAACCTGTCCAACCCTTTTGTCTTGTTTTGTTTCTCTCTCGTCTCTCCTCCTTCCTCTCCTCTCCTCCCTCCCACGTCCCTCCCCTCCCTCCTGCAGGATGTGCGTTTGTCACATTTTCTACCAGGGCTATGGCACAGAATGCAATCAAAGCCATGCATCAGTCTCAAACCATGGAGGTACTGTACCCTTGTCTTCTCTCTCTCTCTCTCTCTCTGTCTCTCTCTCTCTCTCTCTCTCTCTCTCACTCTTCCTCTTTCTATCTCTGCTCTGTTCCAAAACATAGTGAGCTGCCTACGTAGGCAGCATTTTAAGGGTTTGAAAAGTTATTCCAGAAGATGCTTTCTTTCGGTCGTTCTTCTAACTTTCTTCTGACCAAATTGTACTGTACACTTTGAGAGGAAGATAATTTCGTAATGCATTGTGACAAAAAATCCGTCCAAGATGGCATACAATGCAGTAAGAAATGTCTGTTCTAAATATAATGCATCTCATAGCATCAATAAAAGTAGTTATGTCTGATTAAAAGCAACAAATTTAATTTGCGTTTACTTATTGGAGTGTTGTTGTTAGCTTAGCGGCTTTCTTCCAAAATGGTGAAAGATATATATGACATTGATACAAAAATATTTAATTCAGTACTGCAAAGTATCTAAATAAGTAGTTATGTCTAGGGCTGGGTAAAAAATATAGATATCTCGATATTAATCGATTCTCATTTTTACGGAACGATATCGATTCTTAAATCCCAAGAATCGATTATTCAAACCTGTTTTCAGTTAATGGATGGAACATTGAAGGGCACCTCCCATCCAATATATCGCAATAAGCATTGTGCTTTGGTACTTTTAATATGAAACAAAGTCTCAGATTTCAAATTCTGTCCATTGTATTGCAGTATTTAAACAATAAATGCCGTTTTGGCACTGTTTAATGTGGAGTGACAGATCGCTGTAGTTCAATAAAAGTGGCAGCGTGAGGCGCACGTGAACTGATCGTCTCCTCCACATTAATACCAGTTTCAGCACAAAACATGTCTAAACATCCGAAGGTAAGTTAAAAGAAAGAGTACAACTTTACAATCCATATCCTGTCTTATGTAATCGCTCAATCAGTGTTTCTGCTGCGCAAAGATGTCAATAAAGGCTTGTAAACAATATGTCATGTAACGTCACATTTACTTCAGAAAAAACATATTCGGTGACCATAAACTCATTAATCAGCTAGAAAAATAAACTGTAGAGAGGGGTATTTTGCTAAATACACTGAACAAAATTATAAACGCAACACTTTTGTTTTTGCCCCCATTTTTCATGAGCTGAACTCAAAGATCTAAGACTTTTTCTATGTACACAAAAGGCCTTTTTCTCTCAAATATTGTTCACAAATCTGTCTAAATCTGTGTTAGTGAGCACTTCTCCTTTGCCGAGATAATCCATCAACAAAAGTGTTGCGTTTATAATTTTGTTCAGTGTATATGCACCATATAACATATTCATTATAAATTTGACTGTTCTTCAATGTTTCATATATGTTTGAATAAATCCATAGTTTTTTATGACAGCCACCACAAATGAATGTTTATATTTCAAAAAAACAAATTGAAGTAGAAATATTATTATGTAATTGTAACTTTATTATTTTAAAAACTTCATTAAGTGTAATTTTAGCAGTTGTATAGCTTACAAATCAGTCAATTTTAACCTTCAATATTATAGTAATGTACCAAATGACTCTCATGTATATTTTACTGCATTGGTTTTGGCAAGTACTGTACCTGATATATATCCAAAATAATCGATATTGAATTTAATCGAATCGCAAGCTTGTGAATGAGACTCGAATCGAATCGTGAAATTTGTGTCAAAACCCAGCCCTAGTTATGTCTAATTAAAGTGAACTATTTTACCCAGTTTTTGTGTTTTTTTGTTTTTTTGTTCATTAGTGTTGTGCTGTTAGTTTAGCAACATGCTAATGTTTAACACTATTAAAAGTCTACTGTGTTTCGCATCAAATTCCAGTTTGTTAAACTTTGAACATATACATCTAACATGTTAAACAATAAAAAGTTGCTTAGTTTGGAACTGCACTAGTTGCTACACTATTTATAATGGACAATGGACCTTTTTTTCCTCGCAAAATTTCACCAATGTGACCACTTCTTGTGAGAGTATTTTTGTTAGCTTAGCGGAATGCTAATGTGTCCACATTCACCATTTTCTGGATTCTCTGCTTTGTTTCTCTTATTAGAATATGGTTGTTAGCTTAACATGCTAATGTTTATTTCACTTAGGATGCTGCCTAGGCAAGCTTATGAGATTTAAGAACAGAGCCTCTCTTACTCTCTCTATCTTTTTCTCTCTCGTTTCTGTTTGAATTGGCGACCAGTATTACAACCTTGTACAGATGCTAATATTTTCCCTATGAAGTTGAACAAGATGGAACTTTTTTTTTAAAACAGAATTTTCCCTCAGTCACTCACTTTTCTGCAGAACTTTCAACACCATATTAAGTGCTTCTTCGCTCCCTGTTATTACTGTCAGGCATTGCCAAAACCACCCCTGGCCAAGCGGGTCAAACTAAGAAGGACCCCCCGCACCCACCGCACAACCAGTCTGCGATTAGCAGATGGGTCTCACGGTGACGATGTCGCAGACGCTTTAATAACAGACCTCCGACGGTCCCTTGCATTGTATTTGCCCTGTAAAATGTCGGCGTGCTGCTCTTAGAGTTTAGCAGTCCGTCTCAGTGCCTGTCAAAATGTCAAAGCTCTGACACACCAAATCAGAGGGTGCTGACAGCTGTCTTAATACAGGGCCCTAACTATTCGCCTGTGTGTGTGCGACTTCGGGTTTGCGCACGCATATCACCACTCTCTGCAAATTTCCCATTGCATGTTAACCCTTGCATACACTCAGTTTTTAACACCAACGCCCGGTTTTTAAAGACCACCTATTAACCAATCAGAAATCACTGGCACTAATGGATTTAAGCTGTTTTGTCAAGCCTCTGAAGGTCTGTAATTATCAATTCATGGCTAAATTTACAAATATATTTATCCTTCATCCAGCTGACCATGTATAAATGATCCACCATTCGCTTCAGGGTGCTTCTGTTGTGTCTTTTTGCACAGTATGTGTCCAAATAGGCATTTTTTGCCAAATCTTTTTTGCAAAGGGAAAGTAATTACCCGGTTTAGATTAGAGTGAGTAAATTGTGTCGAGTTGTTGTTTGTTTTCGGCCATCTCTCCACCCTCCCCTCACACCGAGGAATTTGTGGCCTTTCTGAATGTCATGATTTAATGAAAACGGATATGACAGAGGGTGGTCATGCATGCGCCTGGGTGCACGCACACAGTCGCGAGCGGCCTTGCTCCTTTAGTGTCGTCTCAAAGGGTTGTTTGCAGTGCTGTGGTTTGCAATAGTCTCCCTGGACATTCATCTCGTTTGATATGTTTGTCTCTTTTTATCTCTGTGATGGCATTACTGTGTTTTTGTGGTGTGTGTGTATGTGTGTCTCTCCACAGATGCACGCTCATTTACGCCTGTATATTTCATGGGCGTGTGTGCATGGCAACCCAGGTCATATATCTCTCTAAAATCTGACAAAATATATAAAAATAAATAAATAAAGTGAATATATATATATATATATATATATATATATATACATATACATGTATATATATATATATATATATACATATATAGAAGGACTATATATAAAATAGTCCTATAATATAAGGACTATTTAGATTTGTTTTTTGTTTGTTTGTTTTTTTGTTTTTTGCATTGCTGCTTGACAATATGAGAAAAAAAACTATGATAAATTAAATTTGTAAATTGTTTATACAATATTATTTTGTGCTATAGTGGCTTCAGTATATGCTTATTTACATTTAAAAAATGTGTCATTTTATTAAAGTGTTGTATTTTATTGGTTTTATTTATATGTACTGTAATTAGGGTTGGGTATCGTTTGAATTTTATCAATTCCGATTCCGATTCTGCTTATCGATTCCGATTATTTTCGATTCCCAGTTTCGATTCCAATGTGATTAAATAATGATATCAAACATTTATCCTGTGTCTCTTTTTTGCAAACCATTTATTGGAGCTGAATACCATGAACAAAAATCAACAGGCATGTAATTTATGAATGAATGATTAAATGACTCTTCATTACTGAATGAATCAGCGTTCTTGAACGAATCTCTTGTATGATTCAAAGACAAATACATTTTATCAGCCCCTTTTCGCCACCTACTGGCTTAACAATGTAATCGATAAATCTTCATTTGAAGTGTCAAATTACTTTCAAAAGGTGATTTACTCTATTTTAATCGCTACCATACACATCGTACACACAGTTTATATCTGAACTATAAACTTTTATGCCAGTACTTCTGTGATTTGAATGTTTATAACACAGAAATAATGATACTGTGTGGCTGAAAAGACTGTGAAGCTGTTTCATTCATGACAGACAGCATCTCTTTAGGTCAATGGCAGCACAAACGCAGATTTAAATGTTCAAATCACACTGGTGTGATCGTACACTGCACGGACGAACCAAGTGATCACAACATTGATCGCACACGTCAAAGGTTGAGGAATGAAACAGACAAATCATTGTAATTTAGGAATATAATCACGTAAGTGTTTGAATCGTGTTCGCGATCTTTAACGATCTATTCAATTAAAGTGCTTTGTCATGTTGGTGGTAACACCTCTCTTGCAACATGTTTAGCTATCACAGATATTATACTTAGCTTTTTTGGCTTCTGATCGCAAATGTAACCAAACTTTGGAGAGCTTAGATTAGCGAGCAAGGTTCTGGCAGATCGCTAGGTCCGGTCCTCACAGCTCAACCTTTTTGGCTCGAAGGCCATCCATAGTTTATCACAATGTACCACAGGAAGGTTTTCAACTTTTTTTATTAACAGAAACTGAGAGCGTTGATATATTAATTAACCACAATTAATTTTGTAATTCTACAAATGCTAATATATATATATATATATATATATATATATATAGTTTGTATTTATATGTACAGTGTTTAATTTTTATTTAAATCAGGAGGGCAAGTCAACAAATTACTCTGTTTCTTACAAATGTAAATTAATTTCTTTAAAAATATATTACTTCTATACATATTTTTTTTTTACATGTAGAAATAAATAGTTTGTATGTATTCATTTTCTTAAGCAATAAGCATTTTCTTACGCATATACATATCTGCATATGCAGACCAAAGTACTATACAATTAACACACAAAATAAAAGAAAAAAAGAACCCAATGGATCAACTAAAAGGGGGGTTCTTCATATAAGGGGGGAAATGTGAACTGGGCATGTTTTTGTGAGATTAACTTCAGTCAGGTGATACCAATTTTAACAATGTTAACTTGAGCTAACATTTTAGCCTTATTCTGCTTCTTTCACATTAGCCTGTAGAGAGTGTGTGTATGTGTGTGTGTGTAGGAGAGAAAGACTGAGCCAGAGCCAGAGCCAGTGAGTAATGAGATTTCTTAGGTCTCTTGAGATGTTCACTCGGCGATGGCACCACTCGATTGACAGCTTGAGTTAAATCTCATTCCCCCCACCCTTACAAGTTTTATTTTTACCTCCCCTCCGTCTGAGAGCAGAAATAAGAAAATCAGCTCTCCGAATGGAAGGAACACCGAAGAACGCTCCGGGTGGATATGAGGCGCGCCACCTCCAAGAAACTTTCAAATGTTCTCTCTCGCACACACAAACACGCACACACACACACACACACACACACACACACACACACACACACACACACGATTCCTGACCTTAAGTATCCGATTCTAGAATCGGAATCAATTTTCGATTCCCAACCCTAACTGTAATACATTGTTTTGTTTTTTGTTATTACAACAGATTACTCTGTTATTTACAAATTTAAATTTATTTAAAAAATATATTACTTCTATACATATTCTGTTTAATATATAGAAATAAATAGTATTTATGTATTAATTTTCTTAAGCAATAAGAAATATGCAAAGTACTGTACAATTAACGTAAATAACCCAAGGGACCAGCTAAAACACACACAGTAATATCCTATATATAAGGACTATTTAGTTTTTTTTGCATTTGTATTTGACAGTTTGCTTGACAATATGGAAAAAAAGCTATGATAAATTAAATTTGTAAAGTGTATATACAATATTATTTTGGGGTGTAGTGGCTTCAATATATGCTTATTACACATGCTTATATATATATATATATATATATATATATATGTATATGTACATGCTAATATTAATATAGAACGAAAGTTTTTTTTTTTCTTTTTCTTTTGAGCAACTGGGATGGTGCCCCCCTGGGAGTTGGTGCCCTACGCAAACTGCGTACTCTGCGTATAGGGAGTGGCGGTACTGCCAGTGGTTTCTACAGTCTACTTGAGACTCACAATGCTTTTGGGAAACACAGGGCAGATTGTTACTTGGTAAATAGAATCAGTGACACGTTTCAGTATTTTAATTTAACACACACACACACACACACACACACACACACACACACTCGCGTTCTAGAGGGTCTGTGATCTTTCATCTTTTTTTGTCAGACTGTGGTTTGCAGTTCAGAGAGAGCACAATAAAAGCGGCAGAGTGATTTATCAGAGTGAATCAGCACCTGTAAGGTAGAGACAAGAGACAGAGATGTAGAATAATTGCCTTGAAGCACTCATCTCAATCTCTCGTCCTCTTGTGGCTCCATATGGCTGCCCTGCGTTAGCTGGCGTTGCCTGAGGAACAGCTTTGATATTAATACATGTAATGGTGTTTCTGAATGTTCTTACGGAACACCATTCACAAAGTCTGTCTTCTGTAATGTGTTAATTTTATTATCTTCTGCTCAGGCTACTGTGATGATTTCAATTTTGTCTTTAGAAGACTTTGAATAGCGATTGTTTGTGTCGATTTGTTATGGAACATCTTTGGTTGAGTCTCATGCCCAGGTCAGATTTTGTCCCAGATTAAGAAAGAAGAATGCATTGCTTTGCTTAAAAATATAAATGCATTGCTTTGCTTAAAAATATAAATGTTTTGAATCATGTCAAAACATTAAGTTTATTAAACACATTTGCTTAGCCCACTTTGTATTACCATAATGAAAAATAAATGCATTATTGCATTACAAAAAATATTTAAATTAAGTATTTAGTTTTGTTCTGTCTTCAATTTATGCAAATTTTATATTACAATAAATTATTGTATTATAGTAATTGGAATCGAATTAGAATCACCATTGAGAATAACATTGGTATACTATTTTAATTGTAAATTATCTGTATTATGCAGATTTGTTTTTAAAAAAAAGCATTTGTACAATGAATTGTTGTATTATAAAAATGAGAAATTAATGAGAATCACCACTGACAAAAATGGAAATTACAAAATAAAAATAGACAAGTAATTATAAAAAATACTATAAATAATATTAAAAAAAATTCTCAATTCTCATAAAAATAATGTCACAGTGCTAAAAAAAATGTCTTAATGACTATGTTGTCTTTGTCTTTATGCATTTTTTTTTTTTTTTTTTGTAATAAAATGAAAGTTGGACATCAGATTAACCCTTTTGGACCTCTTTTTATAATAGAGATTTTTGTATTCAACATTTGAACTGTTTTCAAGGAACATGATGCTGAGTAAATCATGAGAAAATGTTACATTTCGATTGAGTAACCCTTTCAAGAACTAACACATTACTTGCTATGCACACACTCCCTTCTCTCATTATATTCTGACCCCCAGGACTTTAGTTAAACGGGCATCGCAGGTCAGCCCCTTGATGTTCAGGTCTGTTTGCTTTCGTCGGGGAAAGAGACTGAACGTGTGAGAGATTAGCAGAAATGCGCAGGTCTGTAGGGTGCAGTGAGGGCTGTGGGGTGGGAGATCTCGCTCGCTCTCTCAGACAGATGATGAAATAGTTTTATAAAATAGGAAATCGCTTTCCTGGGAAATAAAATCAGCAGCACAGCACAGAACTCTCATTTCACCAAGAACTCCCGTTGCTCCAGCGGTTGTGTGTGTGTTTGTGCGCCATTATCAGTTTATGCAGTACCACTGCACAAGATCATTGCTCTTCTAGATATTTAGCTTTCTTTCTCTCTCTCCCTATTCCACTTTCCTCCTCTCTCTTTCAATCTGTCCACACAGGGCTGCTCCTCCCCCATGGTGGTGAAGTTTGCCGACACACAGAAGGATAAGGAACAGCGGCGGCTGCAGCAGCAGTTGGCGCAGCAGATGCAGCAGTTGAACAGTGCGTCTGCCTGGGGCAGCCTGACCGGCCTGACTGGCCTCACCCCGCAGTATCTGGCAGTAAGAGGACACACCCACGCAGCCACGCCCACCAGCAGCACAGCCAGCGCAGCCGCCGCAGTCAGTCACTGTCTCCGCCCACCTGCCCCGCCCCCTCCTCTCTTGCTCTCTCTGAGCCAGTCTTAACCCCTTTTCCAAATCTCTCATCTGTTAAACTGCGATCGCGCCTTGATCGAAGTTCGCCTCGAAACCGGTCCCCATACTCAAAATTTTGATGTGGTAGTGCTGCTATTGAGAAGCTGTTAGGGCAGTGGTTCTCAACCAGGGGGCCAGGGGCCACATCAAACTTGCGATAGGTTTAAGACTTAAAATAAGACAAAACAGGCACTAATACACCTGAAAATCAAGATATTTCTTATTTTAATTCACCCTGTAAAACTGTTTTTTGCTTCATAAAAGAACCAGGTTTCCCACTGTCTAGAAAAAACAGGATATACAGTACAGTTTAAAAGTGTGATTTATAAACCTGGAAATTCATGTATATAAAATATAAAAATCTTTCAACTCTATTGCCATACATATACATTTTTTAGTTATGCCAAGCTCTAAAATATTTATATTTTGTAGAAATTATGAAAACATATTTTTTATTATCCTTATCCTTAATCCTTTTCCAGTAAATCACAAACAGAAAATGCCATGGAGCCTTCGAATGTAGTTGTGGACAATAAAGGGGGCCTTATAGAGTCAGAAAGGCTGAGAACCTCTGCATTAGGGAATACAATCGCTCCAGCTTTCTTTGTACTTTCAAGAAGGCAGACGGAGAGGGAACCGTTTTTAAACAGCCTTGGTTTCGAAAGTATTTTTTCCCATTGGTTTTCTTCATTGGCATTTTTAAAATCTATAGTAAAAAGCCTAATAAAGCCATGATCCCAAACCAACCAGCGCTGAGATCAGTCACCACAATTCAACATTTTATCCCATGGCATGGTGCATTGCAAAGAATGTAGGTCTAATCAAGTGAAAATTAAACTATGTTTTTAAAATGAATATAGAAATTATATAAACAATACCTATAGAATTAATATAGGAACATATATATTATTTAACAATCATGGTAGGTCTTTCTTAAAAGTAGGGATGCACCGATACCGATACTGGTATCGGTATCGGGCCCGATACTGAGCTCATGTATTCGTACTCGTTAAAATGCCCCGATACCAAACGCCGATACCACACAGCATGTGATAAGCACCATATTCAGACAAAGAAACACCCACAACAGAACAACAGACAGCAGAATGGAGTTAAGGATGTCTACTACGAAGTATATGTATGCAATGAATATAATGTTAAACATTCAGTATTAACGCCTGTATAGCTGATGTGCGCGAGCTGAGAGTACTGGAAAAAGTGGTATCGGTGCATCCCTACTTAAAAGGTTTATGCAATTTTATTAAATATCTTTCTTTCTATAGAAAAAAATGAAAGAGGTTTTTACTTGCAGAACCCAGCTTGGGTTCTGTTGTGTAATTGGATTGGGATGAGGACAATGCATAAATTCCCTGTTTCACTCATGCTCGTCTTCATCATCCTAAATATAAAGAGGATACAACATGGTGGTGACATTTACTCGCGTTTTAGTCCATAAGGACAGTGGGTGAGGATTAAAGGACTATGCAAGAGCATTGGGACAGCGCCATCTCTCCCACCATTCTGCTTTTCCTTTTTCTGCCTTTTTCCACTTCCCTGTCATTTTAAGGTTACGTTTAGCTTTTAAGCAGTCTGAGGGGTCTAGTTCAATGTCATCCCAATCCTCTAGAGTCATTTAGAGTCTGCTTTCCTCTTCCCTTTCATGTGCAGAAACTGCACAGGACAGCAACACACTGCCAACAGAACTGACGGGTGACTCTTAGCATGACAGTTTTCACTGGCACCAATGTATGATGCTAATACCTTGAAGTGGTCCTCAAGTCTTTTATGATTTTGTTCCTCTGAATATTTTTACATGGTTTTCACTCTCAGAACTGTTTTATATTAATCACAAATTATTGTGTTTAGAGACCACAGAGTCCACAGTTAGCATTATGTTATGTATATGGAATATATTAATTTTGCCTTATAACCTTTCTAACACAGTATTTTAACCAGCCTCGCTGTGTTAAAGCTTTCAACAATAAATAAAACAAATTAAACCTTAAACTGAGTTTTGTCCTAGCCAGCTGCATCACAATAATGTGTGATGCCTCACGCTATGTAACTTTTTGTTGTGCTGCGCTATAAAGTGCTGTTAGCATTAGACAGCACACATGTTGTGTATTAGAGATCAAACATATTTTAATTGGCTATGATTTTGTTGGTATGGATGCATTTATTACACTTAAATATTTAGTTTAATACAAAACTAGAGTGGGCCCAATCCTAATACTTGAGGAACACCAGTAGCTAAAAAACACACCCTAACAGACAGAGGCTTTTGTGTTGCTTCACTGTTGACAGACTGCTCTATAGTGTCACTCCAGACAGCATGGAACATGGAAACAAACCACAATGTTTCATCTATATTTAGCATTTAACACTAGCTCCTTCAAACATTATCCTTATATATCCATCACCATAAGCCAATACATAATAATGATTACACATTAATGGTCTGTTTTTGTCTCTCTTTCTCCCAGTTGCTCCAACAAGCGACCTCCTCCAGTAATCTAGGAGCGTTCAGTGGTATTCAACAAATGGCAGGTGAGATACTGAACTCAGATCTGTGTTAACGCAACTAGCCCCATTGTAAATCCTCAACTAAACTTCCATCCCCACTACTAAACCATTCAACCCTGCTATGAATTGCATAAAAAAAAAAGTTTGACACCTCAACCCTGAGCAGATACAGGATCAGCAGAGGTTTGGCTGAGAATATTCTCGTCCTGCCTCAGTTTAGATTCAACATGCTGCAGAGTTCTTGAAAATGTGTAGCACACCTGGACGCTTTGTAATGTTTGTAAATGTATGTGTGTGTGTGTGTGTGTGTGTGTGTGTGTGTGTGTGTGTGTCAGAATTTGATGATGAACTGAGACTTGATCACAAAAAAGCCATTCTTTCCATGCCTGTTCTGATTTGCATCAAAACCTTTTTTTGTTTCTTGGAAGAGGAGTTTGTCTCATCATTCAATCATATCTCCTTGCCTGAGCTCTGTGATGCTTATGGTAGACCAAATCATGATGATATGCCCCATCAACCCTCAGATGTCTTCAGCTTTTTACATTTTCACTTTAGCAATTCTCAAAGAAGAGGAAAAATGAAAGTACCCTTATCCAAATAGGCCACTTATCACAGTTTGTTCATGCCACGAATACTGTCAAATTCACTAGAAACCTGCAGAGAATTCAGCAACACAAGATGGATTCCTTGTCGAAGCAACATGATATGTTATTCTATCTTCATGCTGACTTGGTTTAGCACTCTGGAATATGATTAGTGTTTTACAACATCTGCCAATGAGCTCCTGCTTACTCCGGCTGTTAGACAGGTACGTGTTGTTCTCTCTTTGACAGTTTTTATGCCTCCGACATCAAGCTAGATGCAACAAAAAAATGAAAGTTCCTCTTTGCTCACTTTCCTTTCCTTCTTTTTTCCATTTTCAATGTTTTTTCGCTGTCTTGTGTGTTACATTCCCAGTGTGTGTCTCTGTTCTTGTCAGGTCTTAATTGTGGTCTGTTTATCAAGCTGCCAGGCCTTCAAGAAAAGTGAAATATTTATAGCACGCGCTCTCGCCTAATTGCAGCTGCTAAGGATGAAAGAAAGAGAACGTATTAGCATCCAAAATGGCTTACAGTGTGTGTAGGATGAGTGCCTTTATCTCCTAAAGCCTTCCCCCCTGACAACAGTTTTGCACACCAGAGAGTGGCTTCCTCATTAATGGAGGCTCTTGTGGAGAGGGTGAGCAGGACTGTGGTGTTTTTGTTTACCATTATGAAGAGTTCTGGAAGATCTCGTTTAAGTTTAGTGGTACATCTGTGACAGCCTCTCAGCGAGAATGAAGTTCACATCGAGCCAAACCAGCAGCAGCTGTCATCATAAAATTAAAGAGCGAGAAATTCCCACATTACCATAACAATTTAATTTTCTGGACCTCATTTTTTAAAGCAATATGTTCTCCCAATACAGCTTAGTTTAGACTTTTAATCAAACTGGTTTATTTGCGGAAATGAATGGGAATTGGTCAAGCATGATGGAAAAAGTAGTTTGTTATTATACTTACAGATTATATACAGCAATGTGTCAGTGCTGGATTAAAGTAACCATTCAACCAGAAATGAAAATTCTGTCATTTGCTTATGTGTCATTCCAAATGTTTTTGGTTTATTTCTTTTTTGGAACAGAAAGGTATATTTTTTAAAATGTGCAAGCTACTATTTTACATAAAAGGAAAATCAAACAGACTGTTATGTACATGTTAAACATTTAAATATGGCACTTCAAGACTTTTCACCAGGTTCAACTAATGACATTTGACTGTTGATGCTAATCTTAATGCGATACTTCTTGATTTGCCATATATGAATTTACCTCTGTACAAATGAGCCAAATACAATTAAACTTCTAGGTATAAAGTATTCATAACCATAGCCTAGTGGTTGACGTACATCAGGGGTATCCAACCCTGCTCCCGGATGACCACTATCCTGCAGAGTTTAGCTCTAATCCTAATTAAACACAATTAATTGGTATGAATTAGGGGTGTGCCCGAAGCTGAATACCTTATTCGGAAAGGCACGGATAATGGCTTCAAAAACGAATAACGGTTAACGAATAATTCTGCCCAAATATTCGGCTGAGGCCGGCCCAGTCTGGTGTTTGCTATAGATAACAGGTGAGCCAGGGGATCAGCGCGATATTTTACACAAACCTCTAAATTCATGCAATAATGAGTGTGTGAAGTGAATGAATGTAAACTTTATGAATGAAAAGAGCGCAAATCAGACACAGCATTGCTGTTTCCACTCCGTGCATCTCTCAGAAATCAGAGCTTGGCAAGAGTAATATTACTTAAAATAATACTTCATACACGTTCTACTATTTGTGTATATATAAAAGGCAATGATTTAAACCTTACAGGCTACGATATGATACACGAATGAATAAGCACAGCGCGATCGTCAATCAAACAACCGTGTTGCCGTCTCTGCGCGTCTGTCTCTCAAAAACTAAACCAGCTCTCTGTCAAGAGTAGGCTAATAATCAACTTAAATACCGATTCATTTTCTACTAGGCCTACATGTTTGCTTCCTTATCTTTTGCTGGTTTGCGTGGCACACGCACATTTGTTTAGTGAAGTAAAAAAAAAGACTAATTTAAAAAGTTCTGTATAATGAAAATGTGCACCTTGATTTCATTCAGTCGTGTTCAAATGATCACTAAAAGTTTGTCATGAAATCTTCCTACTTGTATGATAAATGTATTTTTAGAAATTATTAATTGTATATTTTAGAACACTGAATAGGGCAAACAGTCGAAACACAAATATTTTTCCATACTCTGTTCTCTTTTCCCCCATAGGTTTTCCAGACCTGCAAATTACTTAAGTGAAATACTTTTTCAAACTGCGCAGGAACCGGTGAGCCAAAGGAAATCTTGTTGTTTTACATAAACCTCTAAAATTACAACCCAGTAACAAGTGTGTGAAGTAGCTAAATGAAATAAGCACAAATAAAATAGCAGTGTTGCAGTTGCCTTTGTCCATGCATTTCCTGGAAATGACTTAAATCAATTTCCATATTTCTAAACTGCGTAGGAACCCTTAATGTTTTAATTTAGATATTTAAATATTTATTTATCGGATCACGAAAGGTCTCCAAGCTGGGACTTGAACTCACGTTGCTCAAAGCACAACCGCACTACATCTTGAAGCACTGCCTATACAAGGAAATCAGCTCCGACTGTTAGAAGATATGTAAATAAATGTTATAATCATAAAAAAAAATATTATTTTAGTTAAACACTGCATATTTGTTCAGTGATAACTACGAAAAAAAGATAGGCTGTCTTATCATATATAACTGTACGAAGTTCTGGTTCAGTCTCCGCCTACTTCCGGTTTTATCCGAATACAGATACAGATACGAATAATTTTGTGATTGATACAGATACAAATACTGGCTTCACTGCACACCCCTAGTATGAATGCATTTGTTACACTTAAATATTTTGTTTAATGCAAAACTAGAGTGGGCCCAATCCTAATACTTGAGGAACACCAGTAGCTAAAAAGCATGCCCTATAAGATAGACCACTGCAGATAGACCATTATCCTGCAGAGTTTAGCTCTAATTCTAATGAAACACACCTGAACTAACTACAAACATCCAAGCAAGTGTGTTGTGGCAGGTTGGAGATACACTCTGCAGGACATTGGCCACATGTTGAGCTATGAAGCTCATGCAAGAGATGCAGGTTTAGATCCGATCTGCCTCGTCCCTCATAACTCCCACTATATATATATATATATATATATATATATATATTTGTTCTTTCTGCTGTCTGTTGAAGTGGAACAATGGCCAAAAATTAACATTTAAAAAGTTCAAAGTAGACCATTGCATAAACCCAAGCAAGAAACCTGCTCAATATGACCAGATAAACATATCAGTCTGTTTGAGACACTGCTTGAAGTGCGAATCGACAGGAGCTCTCAAACTCAACAGGATTTGAAGGCTTTTCTCGGCTGAATTGTGAAATCTTTGGGCCCCTCCATCTGTCGCCTGGCAACGGTCTATGATTGGCAGACGATATATACAGCTGACATCTGCTGTGTCTGTGCTGTGGGTGGAGTTACGAGCCATAAGGAGCTCCATTACACATGATGAACATTCAGCGAGAGCCAGCATCACCTCTTTCCTGACACCTCTCTCTCCGCTCAGTACGCCGAGAGTGTGAACATACTGCATGGATGGATCTCTCTCTCACACACACTAGCAAAAGTGCCTTTCTCAACCACAGAAACTCACATTGTGCCAAATACTCAATGCCCATTTTTTGACACTTGTGTGCCAAAAACTCAAAATGGTTCATTTTCCGCTTTATTCAGAAGCACAAAGGCGGTCACAAAGCCCTCAATTTCATAGTCCATTTCTGTCGTAACCTCCCTTTTTGACCTCCCAACACTGCACTTTCTTATCCAATGAAGCTTTTTCTAGCTTCTTTTATATTATACACTATTCAAGGTCTTGAACCATGAATTCAGAAATGACCTATTTAATTGACCTGTAACATTCTTTACTGTGAACAATTACTCAAAAGAATTACAAATTTTGCCTTCATAATATTTTGTTATAATGTAAAAAATTAACCCTTTAGGCGCCAGGGATTTTTGGAAAAATGCTGGATTTTGACATCAAGATTTCAAAAGCTTGTGGCTTGAATGGGCTTAAAGATAGAGATCTACTGTAAATTAGAAAAATGTTGGGCATGACCGCAAGTTTATGTGGGGTGTAAATATACTCATCTAATTTGCATATTATGACGTCATCAGAGGCGGCCATCTTGAATATCATAATATTCAGGAAATAGTAGATATTGAATTGATGTTTGAACTTATTTGCATGTTTGTTTGTGTTTTTTAATCTTTTTATCCTCATTCCAAATGATCAGAAAAGAGGAAACCAACAATAAAACAGGAGAAAGTACTAAATTACCAACAGGCTCATCAAAGCACTTGATCCAGTCCTGATACACTTCTTCATTTCTCAAATAAACCCAGCCACCATTGTCATCGCTATTTCCAGCCCTATTTAGATCCAGATCACCCCTGCTGCCTCTACCAAGTCTCCCGGCTCTCCCACACACAGCACGGCCACGTGTACCATGGCCACTCCCACCTCTTTGGGGCACTGGATCCAGAGCCGCTCTGACTGGATCCAAAGAGCTAGTGCCATTCCCCTTCAGAGTCAGAATCGACGAATAACATTTGCAACACATCCTCACGGTACAAGTTTTTATTAGCCATTTGGCAATTTTCTCTCACAAATCTAACAATTTACTCGCACGCTATGAACTGAACTGCTTCCGCATCAATGACACGATAGCTCACTTGCTCTGCTATTTCTTTGAACACACTTAGAGGGTTAACACTGCTTTCATTTTTGGGTGAAACCACAGATCACTCTTGTTTTTCAAACCCTTCCTTCAAACCACCTAGGCTGAGACCACTTTTCACAAGTCCTGGCCAATTTTTTCTTTCTTTTCACTGCTGAGTATTCGTTTCTTTCGGAAATGCCACATTACGGAAGCGGACTGGGTCTTGAGAGCCATTTCATGCTGATTTTAAACCTGCTGTTCAGGACCTGTAACACATTATGGAATCATCTTTGCTGACCTGGGCTTTGTTTTGCAATTAGAGGTAGATTTCCTGTCTCTAATCACCTTCTGTGATGTGCTAATTAGACTCTTAATGCACTTCTCTTGCTTGCTCAGTGGATTGGGAGGGCAGACAACCGTGGCGTCCCCAGAGCACTGTCTGACCAATTCAAATTACACGCTAGTGCTGTCTAAAGGGATAAGGCTGGAAAAACAAAGACATTTTTTTTTCCAGATGGCTTCAGATCCTGCATTTGAGCCTTTGCTTTCAGTCTCAGTTGACAAACATTGATGTGTACTTGTCACCTTTCAGGTTGTCACTTCTCCGTGATACTTATTAATTATCAAATGGGTGCTTACAATCTTCTCTTATTGCACACATTCATCAAGCCAACACTTGGGATGACTACCAGACCATAATTGGGCATTGGTCACCAAATTATGGACTCGTAGGAGGGTGGCATTTGGGACAGGGCCTATAATTCCTCAGCAATCCAAATCCTGTAATTCTGAAGTCTTGTGTGTCTCTTGTGCATGTTTCTTTTTCTCTGTGTGTGTGTGCTTCCTCATAGTATAGAGTATATACATTTTACGTGTATATACAACACATGCTGTGCATTTTCCTGTTGTACCACTTCCAATCTCTGTCCTTCTTGGCTGCAAGCCACTTCCCGCAGTGTGTTGGCGTCATGGCCACTGCATGTAGCCGTGCCTCAAACACACTAATCTAGAGTCACCTTTGGAGTAGATGCACCCGAGCTCACGCATAGAATCGGATTTTCAGTTCGAAACGCCTCTACACACAACTCAACTGTCTCTTGTACACAAATACCTGCTCGTGTACAGCATTCTGTAGCACATGTGGTTCCTTTAGTTGAACATGTGCAAAACACACACACGCACACATTGACGCTTTCTCTTTCTTCAGGTATGAATGCTCTGCAGTTGCAGAATCTGGCCACTCTAGCAGCAGCAGCGGCTGCAGCACAGAGCTCAGCCAGCCCGTCCACCGCTAGCGCCCTGACCTCCAGCACAGGGTCCCTGGGAGCCCTGGCCAGCCCAGGTAACCAGAGGCCGTCCCATCATCATCATTATCATCTTCGATATCGGTATCATTTCCACCATAGCGTCGTTGTCCGTTCATCTGTTGTAGTCGAGTTCCCCATTCTCTTTGATGTTTGAATGTCCTGCATTGTAATTCTTAAGTTTTCATGTCGTGTTTATATGTGTGTTTGTTTGCGTAATTCCTTGATAACGTCCATCATGGTTTACGTTCATCATCATCATCATCATGTTTGGAAGACTGTTCATATGTGTGGCGTTACGCTGTTGTGCTCTTTGGCTTTAACCGTGCTCCATTCATTTTGGAAAAGATGAAATGTGAAACTAGCAGACACTTATAAGTGTGACACATGGTTCTCCAGTTAGATTAGCATCTTTGTGTCTTGCTTTCAAACTCGAAAATTTCTTTCAAACTTGCAAAAATGCAAATGAAGCACAGGGAAAAGCTTTTATATGCTTCAGAATTCTTTTGTTTCGAGAGATGTTTTGTTTGTATTTTATTGCTCTTTTCTGAAAACATTGTCGTCATGATTGCAATAATCTTTATAGTTGTTGATGTCTCTATCTTGTCTTTTTTTTCTGCGATTTTAACCGTTTCCCTTTAGGAATGAATAAATAATTAATTAATATATCTATCCATCTGACCATCCATCCACCTTATCAGTTTTATTAGGACTGCATCATATAGCAAAAAAAAATTACAATTTCTAGTTCTTTGATGATATTCAGTGTCATAATAGGGTGATTTTTTTTTTTACAGAAAAATACCTGTAGTAATGTATAAATCTGAATTAATACTGAATGCAAAAGAAAAAAAAACATTAAAATAATTTATAATCAATGCATGTTTTTTTTTCACACGTTCCACAAAGAAAAATCACATTTATTTATTTATTTCATTTGCATGCACCAGTATGTAACAATACACAGTAAGAAACAGAAATCACAGGCACTATTTAAAAAAAAATCTATCTTGATGCACAAGTTACAGGACAAGGAAGGATTGCAAAATTAGTCTAATGAGACCCTCTTTAGAAAACTTAATGGCCTAATAAATTGCGCAATAAAATCATTGCGATATTCACAACATAACTTCATGTTACACTTGCATCAAAGTCACCCAACCCTACAATCTATCAGTGAATCAATCTTCCACCCATGCATCCTTCCCTCTGTGTACCTCCACCGAAGCTTTTATGTATGTAACTTTAACCATTTCAGTATCATCTGCAAATGTATGTGTATGTTCAAGCATCTCTCTTTTTTCTCTCTTCCATTTCTCCACCTGTCTCTCCTTCCTGCTCTGTCTGTCTTTCCCCACAGCAGGTTCCACAGCTAACTCCACCATGGGTGCAATGGGTTCCCTGGGTTCTCTGGGGACACTGCAGGGTCTGGCCGGGGCCACCGTGGGCCTCAATAACATAAATGCACTAGCAGGTAGCGTCAACAGTGAGTACTACCGTCCATCTGCCTCTCCATCCCAATCCATACAGCATCACCTCATACCAGCCCCCCACTGCTCATAGAGATGCCCGCTATCTCCCAAACACATACATAGTGAATGTTTTTCAGTCGATTTACTTTAAACAGCATCCAAAGCGAGGGCATCTCTCTGGGCTTCAGCGAGAGTTTGTTGCAAGAATTTCTCACATTTAGTCCTGCTGATATATTTAAACTGTGTCTATGCCTCATTATTAAATCAAATCAGATCAGATCAAATCCATTTGCTAAGTCAAAACAAATGTAGCTTATCTCTTGTAGTCGTGAGTGTGTTTGCACCAATCAGACACATCTCCACACATTCAGACATGCTAACACACTGCTAAACCATTGCTCTGGGTGTTTCTATAGACGTGCACTTGTTTTGTCACTATTGTGTGTGTGTGTGTGTGTGTGTTGTGTATATGTGTCTGTTTTATCTTGGGGTTTGAATGATTTAAGACTAGTCCAGTGCTGTCAAACGATTAATCGCGATTAATCGCATCCAAAATAAATGCTTTTGTTTACATAATATATGTGTGTATACTGTGTACGTTAATTATGTATATATATATAAATACAAACACATGCATGTATATATTTAAGAAAAATATGTTATGTTTATATAT